GGGCAAGAAAGATAAAATTGGATACACGAGAACATATTCTGGCCATATTTATCTTATGTAACTAATGAATATTAAAGTAAGATATTTGCAGTTGTGTTCTTATTTTTATTTTTCATAATTAAATAACAATACAGGAGTTGGTTTACTGGAACTTTTATTTGATTTTGTATTTTTATTAGACGTATACTTTCGAGTGAAGAATGATGAAGATGTCTTGTGAGCTCAAACTTTCAAGGAAACCATTGTGATAAGAGCTAAAAATATACATAAGAGATTTGATTTGTGTGTAATTTTACTGGAACATTAGCAACACAAACTTGAAAACATTGTTCAAAGTTTAAATGCAATCTATTTTCTTCTTTTAATTGCCTGGTAATTTTTTCGTCTCGTTTATGTTTTCTTAGATATGTAAGCATATGGTAAAGTTTCCTTCCTAAGTGGTGGTGATAAGATAAATGCTCATGGAATGTCATGTTTACTTCTTGAAATATTCTTTTTCCAGATTTTGTCAACTAGATTTTTTTAGTATTTTATTTATTCCTTATTTTTTGTGCATGCTTTTCTTCTTTGATTCCAAAATCCATCATTAGACTACCCTATTGGTTTTCTTCTTGACTTCATAATTTTTTTCTTCTTATTTTAGTTAAATGTTCCATAGTGTAATAATATGGAATTAAGACACAATTTATGGATTATTTTACATTTATTCTTATATATTTGTGAAAAGTAGAGAATTATATCACATAATAATTTGGGAACCATTGTTTTACTAGATATGAAAGCTCTCTTAGTTTACTATTGTAGTTTCACATGAAGAAAATCATCCTGCAATTCACAAAATTTTCCGTTCATTAAATATGTTTTACGTTTTATATCTTGCAACAATATATCCATATCTGACCCACAATGATTGAAGGGGTTAGATTGTTTAAACATGCTTCCCGGGGAATATTGTTCAATCACTTGGGTAATAAGATTTCATCAACCATTTTGGTTATTTTATTTGCACTATGGAAGAACCTTTGACACCTGTCTTTTTATGCATTTGCCAAAGTCCTTAACATGTCCAATGCTTATCTATTTATTTTGCTCAATATTCTTTGATTGATCATAAGTACTAAGGAACTGAACCCAATTGAGTATTAATTTGACTTGTGGATAAATGGATTCCTTGTTATCTTTCCAACGTGTTTGTTTTTGATCCTGTGATCTTGAAGTTTTGCTTTGATACCAGATGAACTTGAAGGGCCAAAAAAAGAAACCAATAATTCTTCTAACAGAAGAGGTGGATGAAAGATCAAAAAAGGTTTGTGAACTTATCTCTAATGCTGCAGTTTATTGATTTTTCATCCCACCTATGTATGACATTTAGTTTCCTCATTTCGCTTTTCTATTACGGGGGGAGAGATGGCTGCCTTCTATTGTAAACTAGCTTTGTTGAGGTGTGTGAAAAAGCTTTAACTAATCTTTAATAATCAAAATATAATTGAAAGCTGGGAAATGGAGATAATATATATGCTCGAAATGAGATGTAAATGCAATAGGCGTCCCTAGCTATTTGAGGATGAAATTATTGGTGTTGTGGAAGGTACAAAGCATTGTGTAGCAAAGAAAAGAGATGACAATGATTTGGAGTTGGGATGTAGGTGGAATTGACGATTAAAGGTGGTGAAGCTTTTGATGATGTTAATTATTGTGGGTACACTACTTGTTTTGGGAGTTGGGAGAAAATAGTGGTGGTGTGTTGTGCTTTGGGCTTGAATGGCTTATTGGGTCACTCAGATAGGTTTGCGTTTGTTTTTTAAGAAACGTATAAAATTGTAAATGATGTAGTCGGAGTCCAGCATAGGAGTCACTTTCTGCCTTGCACTTTTATTAAGATCTTTGAAAAAATTTCTGGTTTACATTGAAGATTCTTTTGCTCTAACAGGAAGTGAAACAGTCATTTCATTTTGGGGAAATTACAAATGGTGATTTGGTACATCCCGCTAAGTGCATGCAATAATTACTAGAGCAAGTTAGGCATTACAAACTAAACATTGATGACAATTTTTGCTCCATGTTGGTTACCTTCTCATATTTATTTATTTATTTACTTTTTGTAGTTGTGGTACATATGTGAATGACAACATTGATATAAATAATTTATTTTTTCATTCAATTTTGTCAAACATGCTTAGATATGTTAGTTTTTTCTTGCTTCTAAGTTAAAGAAGTTGTTTAGTTATAAGTAAAATTTTTAAGCTTAACCGATAAAACTGTTATGGACTTTTTATATACAAAAACTTCCTAAACTGTGTACATTATTTATGTTTTACACTTTCTTTGCTTATGTTTTGATTTAGTTACAAAGTTGATGTTATCCATTTGTAGCTAGCTATATGATCAATCAGCACCACATAGGCATTCTCATTTTAGGAAAGAATGAATGCGTTTCAAATTACAAATTACCAGCGCTTTCAATTAGGAAAAATCCATCCCAATGTAGGAAACAAAAATCATTTGAGGCGTAATTTACGAGAATTCAACACATTTAAAACACTAATATTACTTTCAAAAAAATCGATCCCGTGCATTGTACGGGTAAAGACTAGTTGAAATATAAATGTAGAAGCACGATGGCAATGAGGAAAAATGACAAGAATTTCATCTTTGTAAGATTCAGCTAAAAGTGACGCAACGCTAAACAAAGAATTCAAACGAAAACTTCAAGAATAAGAAATTTGGAATCCACCAAATTATGAAGAAAATAAACTCACAAATTTTATTAATGAATGATGATGATGATGATAATAACAACAACCAACCCCTTAATTATAAGGGTTTACACGGACTAAAAGTAATGAAAACAAAGTTTAAACAAACTAAAATTGCAAAAACCCAAAATAAACGAAATGCCAAAAATTGCCCCAAAATTTTAAAAATAAGTTTTCGAGTCCTAAAAGAACTCGAATGGCCGAAATTTATCGTACATCACGGCATAGCCGTGAATATTGTTCCTGTCGTCGTTCTCTTTTCGGAATGGTCTTAAGGTTCCAATCCGGAGTTAGGATGTTTTCTCTCTACTAGTTCATTTCACCCAATATGTCCTACATCAAAAAGTTTAGTAACTGCATGCAAACTCTTGGTTGCTGATGCTGTCTATTTATAGACAATCAAATGATTTTCCTTTGCATTTGTTTGAGGTTCACATGCACTGATTTTTAAGAAAATCAGAAGCTTGGAGTGGTACAGGAAAAAATTGAGCAAGTTGAAAGAGTATAAACTCTTTAATTACTAGGAATTTTCTGTAACGTTAGCTAGGCCAGGCCAGCTTTGGCTGTCCAGGACGAGAAAACAGCTGGTGGATTCCTTTGGAGAAAGGAAGAAATGGATGGTCCCTTTAGTGATAAGGAATGGTGTTTTAAACCCCAGACTTGTTTGTCTATGTTCGAGTGACAGTGACTCGGAACCATCATGGGCATATAAAAGTTCGAGTTATTAGATAGAGAACAGCCGTATGCATTTAGATCTAGTCACAACTGCACTTAATTTCAAGAAGAAACCTACATAAACAGGTGCTCAATTGAAATTTTGCAACAGTATTTTAACAATGGTTTTTTGGCCCCATTTTTCCTAGGATATATAGTTAGGGTGGACTAAGTTACCAGAACAAAATTGCCGATTCAATCACGTTCTTTTTGGGAGAATATCTAACTGATGAATTTCTCTAAGTTAAAATGGACTTTTTACTTATAATTTATGAGATTTTTATTGATTCTCGATTTGTTAGTTCTATTCAGAACCAGAATGAGCATACTATATATTCTAGAACGGAAGGGAATTAATTTGAGGTAAATGGCATTAAAACAGATAATGATTTTAACACTATTTTATATATTTCTTTTTTGCCACATTTGTTTTAATATAATTTTGTAGCATTGCT